GTCACACCATATCCTTCGTCTTATTGGTCATTTAAATTCTCATTCTCAATTGCCAGGGCCTCTCACTGAGGGAAAACACTGCCATAGACAGATCGCTGGCTACTGTCACTGTTACTCCCTCAAATGCCATTCAGCAGGCTTCTGCCTCCCATGCCACTTTCCATCAAAATGCTTTTGCCTTAAGCAAACAGTTCCTTTTAACCCAGGAACAGCTTAACAAATTGTTAAACAGTGTTCCTCATGTATAATACTTCTTCCGTCACTGCCTCTGGGAGTTAATCCCTGAGGATTATGCCCTAATCATCTCTGGAAAATGGCTGTCACTCACATTCCTGAGTTTGGCTTTCTACAGTGGGTCCGCGCTTCAGTGGATACTTCCTCAGGATTTATTTTTGCTTCTGCCTTCACTGGTAAAGCACCTAAAAATGTCATTGCCCATTGCTTGGATGCTTTTGGTACCCTTGGATGTTCATGGGCGCTTAAAACTGATAATGGCCCAGCTTAGACGAGTGCTGCCTCCCAAATGTTTTGTAAAATCTCTCACATTTCTCTTACCATAGGAATTCCTTATAACTGTCAAGGTCAAGAAATTGTTCAACATGCTCACTGTATGCTCAAAATTCAATTACAAAAAAAGGGGAAATCCTTCCCTACAAAATTCACACCTCATACTAGACTTCACTTGGCATTATATACTATTAACTTTTTAAATCTTACTAGGGATGGGACTACAGCAGCAGAGAGACAATTCAATCAGGTAAAGGAAAAGAAGCTAGTAAGGGTCATTTGGAAAGATCTTTATACTGGAGAATGGAAGAGACCCAGCCTGGTACTCATATGGGGCTAAGGGTATGCTTGTGTCTTTCTAGAGAATGCTGAATGAGAATGCTCTGGGTGCCAGAGCATGCTGTCTGGCTGTGTCATGGACTCAGACCCAGAGGAGAGTTGGTTCTACCTTTCAAGAAGCTGATACTCAGTCCTGTGTCAATGATGCCTCAGGGACCACACCACAGCTGATAAACAAGGATGGAGCTAGGCCTGACCTAAAGCCAATTAAAGAAACTGACCCAGGATGCCCAGGAGATGCTAACCAAAAATGAGAATTGAAGGTCTGAGTGGGTGA